AAGCACGCTGCTTGTCCAACTGCAGGATCTCTGTCTGCACGCCGGGGCTGTGCGATAAACATTCTCTGTGCATTTTTCTGCATATTAGATTTCTAGATCATCCTGAAATCCCACAGACAACATTGGATGAGTTCATAAGGAAACACGTGAGGTGTCTGGGGTTTGTTCCTGCAGCATTAAATATTGTCCTGTTTGTCATAGCGTGAGCGTGAAGTAAAAACACACGCTCCAGCTTGCCAATATGGGGCGAGTGCTGTTTGTTGCTCTTAAGGCTGTGTGCTTGGCAGCGTGCTATGCCGGGGCCAGAGAGGAGCACCAGGACAGAAAATTCAATGTTCCTGTGCAGATGTACGAGATGAATTGCTGGAGGGCAGGCACCTGAGCATTACTGACCTGCTACGGACAATTGCTCACTGCTGAATCGAGCGCACACAAAAGACGTTGCTGTGTATCCCATGTTGAGAAAATAGAACTGCAAAACTTGGAATATCTCCCTCAAAATTTAATCATCTTGTCTGTCCTATGTAATGTATTAATGCCCACAACACGGATTTTCAACCTATGTTTTCTCAGATCTCACGTCCTTTAACCTTGTTAGCCAAGTACTGGCCTGGCATCTTCAAAATTGTTTGAAGAACACTCTTCCCAGTTTACCAGCTCATTTAGTCTGCAGACCCTGCTTTGTTGCTGTACCAATTTTAGGAGCTATTGAAAAAAAAAAATGGGGTCAATTTGCAGTAACTTAGAAGTTTACTTCTTATCAGAAGATGAGGATTGTAGGCATTTCAAGTTTAAGGTACACATGAACACTGACTTAAATATTCACTGTAGCTTTCTTTTGCAAGTTTAAAACAAGGTTTGGAAAGGTTTAGGTTTGCTTTGTTTAAAAGAAGGGCTATGTTGCCCTTTGAGTTCCTTTGCTTATTAGATGTTTCTATTTTAATGTAGCACTGTGTTTCTTAAAAGGGTGCCACTGGGATACAAAACAGACCAGAGACAATCTGTTTTTCAGTTAATGGGAAAAAACCCGGATTTTTCTTAAACATTGTTTATATTCCAGCTAACTATAAATTAAGGCCTTAAGATAAAAGAAGCAACAATTACTGGACTTTTTTTCACTGCTTTCTTCGCTATGGCTCTTTCAGTGAGCTTAATTTAAATTGATATTAGAAGAATGAAGTTTTTGTTCAACCTATAGTTGTACTTTTCAATCATATTTTAGTGATTATTTTGACAGATCAAGAGCTGAATACCTTTTTTTAATTATATTTCCTGTGCTATTTTTCACGTGCATACCCCATGCTCTATTGCAACTTGGTAATGTCGTATTTTCCTGTCTCTTCATTTGGAATACCACTCAGTATATTTCTCGTTAGCGTTCCGTAGATTAAATTTTCCTAAAAATAACTTTTATACATGTATAATTACAAGTGTTTTTTTATTTTAATATCATTATGAATTACACTTGTAGTTTATTTAAATAACTTGATGATTCATTTAAATACATGGGGTTTTTTAAATTTAGTTCTCTTTTAAAAAGGCTTATCCATCACATGAGCTGGTGGGCCTTCCAGTACTTTGTTATTTAGTGTAAAGAAAATATGAATTGTACAAGTTATTTTACAGAGTTGTCAGATACTTGAAGATCTACATTCAGTCTTTTGGAAAGTTTAATTGTTTGTTTATGAGGTTAAAGATACTCAGTTATTATCCATATGTTCGGTTTTTAATAGCAGTCAAACAAAATTCCTTTTAAAAATGCAAATTGGGCTAGTGGAAGCCTGCAGCATACTGCTGAATCATTTTCTCTAAATATTAAGAAGGAATCCTGCATGTGCTTAAGTTTTCCACTCAAAAGTGTTATGCACTCTGGCTCTGAAACTGGAAATGACAAGCAATGGGCCCAAAATAATGAGGAAAATACACATTTTAAATTGTTTGTAATGTTAATACATATGCTGCCATGGGGATATACTGCTTTTCTCTCAAGATAGAAATTATTAATGGGATGTTATCTCTCTTTTCTGAATTTAAAAATAAAAAAATACAGCACTGTATGACTGATACTTTTCTTCCATACTTCTGTGAGGGTTAGCTTTGCATTTGATTTCATAACACTCGTTTAAATGTATTCAGAATAGCTATGAAGCTGCAGTTTACAGCACACAAAGAGTGAAAGGTGTTTATATCTTAATAAGAACAATAATCACCTTCTCGAGAGACTTTTTGTTTCTGCTAGCAGAGGACTAATACTTAGCTGTGTTTTCTTTTTTGGTTTTGATGTTTTTTTTTCTTCCCCACGAGTGAGGAAGTTTTCATATCTAGATTGAATAGGGCTGTCATCCTAGCCTTGCCAAAAGAACAAGAACTGACAAAATAGATCACAGTTAGTCTTTTGCATTTCCAAAGCTACTGTTTAACACAGCTGAATGAGGGATGAAAATATGTCAGGACTGTCCCTTAAAGTTTTCTGGAAAGTCTTTTTGTAGCCTGGCACTCCATTTTTATTTAACTAGTTACACTGAGTATTTCAGGTCCCTGTAATTTGTTGATTGTCCTCACTGAAATCTAGTTGCTATGGAGTAGATTTAAATAAAAAGGTGGCTTTATTGCGTAACTTAGTAATTTTGCTGGTCTTTGCCATAATTATTTAGTAAAAGAACTGTTCCTCACTTGTAAGAAATAATCAACTGACAGGGAGGTGTTGTTTCTTCATAGACCTTTTTTCTACAGGATCTTTGTTGATTCAGGTCCCAGTAAACTCACAGTATCTGGGCTGGGTCTAAAAGCTGCTTGTCCTGCCATGTTCTGTAGTACATCATCTGCAGCTGTGTGTACGTGTTCCATATGTGTAAATTATACCTGTCAGACTCCTGATTTTATTTTTCAATTGGCAGACACCATCACTTTCAACAGGTACAGTGTTAGAAACAGATGAATGCAAATGTTTTCAGCTGTGTACACGGCGCTATAGATCCCTTCCATGTCTTTATTTATCTTCATTTCTTGGTTAGCACTACGTGTATACTTCCTATCCACTACTTCTTAAATCCGCACAACTTTTTTCTTCTGCTGCTGAGTAAGACTCTTTCAGCTTTCTTTAATTCCCAATTATCTTTTCTCTAGCTAATAGCACCGTTAATGCCTAAAATAGTGCTGTACCTCTGAAGGATTAAATCCTGATAAAGTGAGGGAGTGAAACTCAAGCTCCATACATTTGTATAGGTTTTAATGGAAATGTGCTAACATTCCTTCCAACTGGGCATTTTTAGGCTGAGTGCTTCCTCGTCTGAACGCAGGCTTCATGGAAATCAGTGTTACACCTGAGAAACTGCTTTTTACTGTGTGCTGGGCTGCATTTAGTGCACTGTGACTCCCTCAGCAGGCCACATTTGAGTTTCCATAGGAAAGTACTCAGGAAACGCTTTCACCTCATCCCATTTTTCCCTGTTAGGGACTTAGACCCCAGACTGAACCCCAGGAACTGAGCCTTACCTCCCTGGAGCATTGCTTGCACCACCTTGCACGGAGCAGAGGAGCCGGCCCACCGCCGCTGTGAGGCAGCGCCCCGGAGAGCCGCAGCGCTGCGCCTTGCGGTCCCTCTGGTGCAGCCGAAAGGAGGAAGAGGGGACGTGGTGCTGGTGGCTTCCCGTTTGGATGGGGCCTCCCCTCCGGACCTCACACCCCATCTCGTCCATCTCCCTGAAGAGCTGGGAAAGGGGAGGTCGGGTGTCACTCAGCCGGCCTGCAAATCAAGCAGGCTGGGCTCCTGAGAATTAACGTTCCTGGGAAAATGGCAATAAGGATGTCTGTATAAATAAAAACTGCTTTGCATTTCAGCGTTGCTTACAAGCTCACAAGTTTGTTAATCTTTATATTCATTTCTTTTGGATATACATAGTTCAAGTCAGTATTTATTGAAGGTCTTTCTTGCTATATGCTACTTCTCTATACTCTCAGAAGTAAAGAGTTAAATTACTGCTTTTTGCTAAAAGGTAAAAGATCATTTTATTAATTTGTCATGATTACAAGTGGACGCATTCTCTTAATGAAACCCCCCCTAGCAATTAAAAGGACAGTTACTCAAGAGGTACCCTCTTTGCATGTCTTTTTCTCCTTGAAATTTGATCAAGTGATCAGAGGAGGGTTTTGAAGGTGTTTCAGCAGCTCATTATGAATTCTGTGCAATGCGAAGTCACAACGTTATTTTTGTCTCAGAAGTACACGTCTGATATAAAATTCCCTTTTGGCAAGGAAAAGAGATTTTTGGATTCCACAAATCCAAAATCTTTTGCTTATGGCTGCGTCGCAGCTGAAGCGCTAGATTTTCCTTGGAGATCTTTCACAACCAGGAACATGACTCGTTCGGTGCACGCCATGACTTGTGTGGTGCACATCAACTTTCTGTTTAAACTGGTTAATTCTCCTGAGATGCTAAGAAACGCGTTGTTCAGCCTGGCAGTACTAATCCAGAGAGACAGAAAAGGGAAGAATGAGGCCCCTCCGTTTGGGAGCATGGAAGTGTAGAAACTGGTGCAGTGAGATCTGGTCAATCAGTTAAGAATTTATTTTTATTAAAAAGCAGAAACTTGAATATTTCAAGATCATATAACAACAGATAATGTATTTTGGTAATCTCTCATTCACAGGCTGGATTTCTTCTTTCTTTTGGGATGCGAGAGGAAAGTAAATCAACTCGTTGTTTTCAAACAGTCCTATGCTTTGTTTTTATTCCTTGTTCAGAAGAATGGGAGAAGCAAAATTAACAGTACTTTTGTTCTTTGCCCCTACAGCTGACAGTAAATAACAGCAATTAAAAAATCAGTTGTGTGAACTAACTACTGTTTGTTCATTTAAAAGCAACTGCTGTGCTTCTTGTCTAGACCTGAACAGAAGTGGAGTCCTTTAGCCCCACTTTTTTCTCGTGTTAAATAGTGGTCTGTGTTAATAAGCAATGAGATACCTCGACTCATGGACGTTATCTCTGTCTACCCTTCCAGAGGGCACAAGCGCAAACTGGATGAAGATGATGCTGCCAGTGAATCCAGTAAAGAATCCAGCAACGAAGATGAGGAAGGAAGCAGTTCTGAAGCAGATGAAATGGCAGCAGCCCTCGAAGCTGAATTGAACGACTTCATGTGACATTCATGCAGAAGACGGAATTTGTAATTATATTTTACTTCTCATAAACAAATCGGACTTCAGACAAGTCCCTTATGTCAGTACTCGGTGTTTTTCCAAAACGTGTGTGTATATTTTGCAAAGCAACACAAAAGGTGACACATTATTTTACAAAATCGGAAATAGATGTTTTTAAGGTGTTTTGCTAAAGGAAAATATACTTTTTTAAACAAAAAAAGTATTAAACGGGACTTGGTGTGCTATGCCAAAGACATGTTAGGAGCTCTGCAGAACCTTCATATACAGGACAGTAACACAAAAATTTGTGATTAAACATAGCAACTTCTTAAAAATGTTGCAGTCTGTGGCTTATGGGTAATGGTCTTCAAAAAAAAAAAAAAAAAAAGGAGGAGATAAAGGAGATGGAGTTGTCTGGGTAGTACAGCAGGAACCTGGTGAACTGGTCATCCTTTTCAACACATAAATGCTATCACATATAAAAGGATTTTTAAAATAAAAGAATGATTTATATTTGTATAGAAACAGAGAATGTGATATGCAAGCTTTGTGAACTCTGCGCTTGACCCACCTGTCATTTGCTTCTAAGAGAATACATAACGATCAAAACTCATGTTTCTAAGTTACTTTGTGGAGTAGTTGGGTTCTTTAGGGACATCGTTTAGATTTTTAACTTTTCTTCTCTGTAACCGGAAATTTAGCACAGCATACTGTGTGATCCTGTACTGCCATAAGAAGCATATTCACCCATTCGTGTTGTCTTGGAAAGAACGAGTGCTACTTCGGTCTAGATAGGATTTCATTTCTTTGACAAGAGATCCAATGTAAAGTTTTTGTATATTCTATTTCATATTTGACCCACAAAACAGATTTTCTTTCATTGAATAAAAATTCATTTTGTATGCTTCGTTTCCTTTTCCTGTTCATTTGCTTCCATCAGACCCAAGGCAGCTTTTCGGTATTACCTTTCCTTTACTCTGCATAAAAATAATGAAGAACATTGAAAGCAAGTGTAAATTTGTAATTCGGGCAGGTGACTGAGGCACAGAAGAGGGACACTGGCTCGGAAGATTCCCTTCCCTTCGGTATGTGAACTCTTATGTTCTGACGTTTTCTCGGGTCCCGTTGACTAGCCCCTGAAGATACCGTACGAGTTACTGCTCTGGTGTGGAATTTCTGAGGCTAGAACCATGGTTTATTGTCAATTGTTAGCAACTGGAGAGACAAATCCTTTTAAAACATGTTCGCAAAAGACTCATTAATTCAGATGTCGTGATTAAAAGGAAGTACTTTCTGGTGCAGAAATACTGAACTTTGCCACTTAGAAGTAAAACAGAATATTTCAGTAGAATCTCAGCTGGTTTGCACATAACAGGCTAGTTTTCAAATCTTCCTACTGGCAGTAAAAGGAAGACGGGGGAAAATAGGAGAATCTTTTCAGATTAATACTGCTTTTTCACTTCCGAATGCAAGGTCAGCATCCACAAGACAAAAATAGTGTTTTCTGTGGGAAGATGTTAAACTTCCTGGACATTTACACAGGTACCATGTAGCTGGAGTCTGCAGTGACCTGCCTGCTGTAGCTCCCTGTGAAAACAAGCAGGATGTCTCCAAGTGAGTTGTGTAACAGAAGAAAAAGACTAATGCTTGTAAAATGGGAAGTCAAAAATACCTTTTTTTCTTTTTTTTTTTTTTTTTTTCCAGCAACTGAAGTGCAGCCTCCCCAGCTATCAGAGGATGACTCCTTGTGATGCAAAATTAAAACGTCAGGGGCTGGGGGGTATGGTTTGCGTTTCCTTAAATTAAGCCCGGTTGAAATAAATGGAAATGATACCAACTTTTCAGGTCCCTGCGATGCTGCGAATGACTCGGCAGCCCAGATTTCCTCGGGGGCTCCGCGGCAGCTTTCGAGCCCTGGCTGTGAAGGCAGCCCGGCGAGCACCACGGGGTCGGTTGCTGCTGGCTCAGCGCTGGTTCCGCCGGGGTTGAAGCTGCTGGTTGGACGCCGCGTCCCCGGCACGGCAGCCGCCTGGCAGCACTCGGGGAGTGACCCCCTGCGTGTAAAGTTTGAGCAGCTTTGGGGTGAGGAAGGCTATACGCTCTTCCCGGTTTTATTCTGTGGTTAACTGGTGGGGTGCGTTTGTCTGGGCGGGAGTCCCAGAAGCGAGCAGCACTCCACTAGACCCAGCATCACCCGGGGCCCTGTGTAAACACGCAGAGGAAGGTTTCCACCGGGCTGAGGGCTGCATCTACCCAAGGGTCCGGTGCCTCCAGGAGCTGCAACAAACTGGTACGGCACGCTGAGGCCCCAGGGGCCGGCAGCGCGCTGCCAGGGTTAAAGCCAAGCAGTTCTGGAGCTATCATGGTGACACAGACAGGTCTGATTTTGACATTCAGTATTCTGGCAGCTCTAAGGACCCCTGCTCTCCAGTCGTTGGGGCGAGGGGACCGAGTACGGGGGGGTGTGAGAGGCACCAACCCATCGCTTGCTGCCGAGAAGGCATCGAGCCTGCTTTCTGTCTAGAAGTAGACTCCTGCTCAGGGAGCTGCACCCAGTAAACTGGTGACCAGCCTCTCTCTCTGCACGGGCAGGAGAGAGAACTGGAAACTGAAAATGTAATAGCTGATAAGTAAGTCAAATGCCCTGGCTAACCTGCCAGCAAGAAGCCTTTTGGTGTATGAGTTGTCACTCACTCTCACTAACTTATGCTTTTTTCAAGATGCAGGAGCATCCTAGGAAAGGCAACGCCTGTGCTTTGTGAAATGGCTTTTAACTCCTTACGAAGTGGCCCGCATCTCTTGACTAGTTGTTTTAGCCTATCTTCTTGACCTACTTCTGTAGGTGAGGTAGCAAGCCAGGAGCCTGCTGCCGGGCAGGGCTCTCTCCGGGCGGGAGCAAAGGTCAGACTCTCGCTGAGGCTGTTGAACTCACTGGGCAGTGCGGGTTCCCGAAGGGGTGCGGGGTGTGGCAGTGAGCACCCAAGGGGCACACAGCACACTGTTGAGCTTTCTGAGCACATACTATCGCTGCTGTCCAGGCAAGACGGCTCCTAAAGGCCTGACGGTTGTTTAAGAACAGGTAATATCAGACATTTCAGTGAAAAGACCATCAGCTTTACTTTTTCCCTCTCGATTTGCCCTCAGCAGGTCTGAAGAGGATAGGAAGACATCACGGCTCTGTGTTGTGGGTGGAGGTAGTGGTAAAAGCAAAAAGCACGGGGCAGTGGCCAAGCTTTTCCCTGTGCGTGTGCTGGGGACGGGGGGAGGACGAGGGGACAGCGTCGCTTAGCGCTGAGCTGTGAAAAACTCCAAGCATGCAAATCCTTTCACCATTGGGTTTTGTGCATATGTGGAATGGGCCCTCGGGTCTTCTCAGTGTTAGACAGTAACAGCCTCTGCGGAGGGTGGAAAGTCTCAAGTTTCCTTCTCAGCACTACTGCTTGCAGAATAGGTGACTGTCTTTCTCACAAGTGTGAAAACACACACGCACAAACCTGGAGCTGTACCTAAAGATTTCTCGGCTCTGCCTAATTTTACTACAGTGAACATCGCAGCGGATGACAGGTTGGAGAATTAATATGTAGCGGTCCCGTTAAGGAAGCGGATCTCTTCATGTAGCTGAAAATTCAGCGTGAGAAGTCTCCCATAAATTATTAAGCCAGGTTTAGCCAAAAGGAAAACACTGATGAATCATTTTTAATTAAAAACAAAAGCACACATTGAAGTTCTTGAAAACAGATGATTGTTTTTAAGTAGAAATGTTCCCTGGTAGCTAAGCCTTCAAGTCAAATTGATACTGCAAAAAGAGGCAGGTGTGTGTATGATACAAACGTTAAAACAGAAGAAAGGCTGTGCATTATTTCTTTTGCTCCTCTCCTCAGAAGAGCCTCCAAATCCTCTTTCTTTTCCTTGTCCAATTTGAGTTTGTGTACACCGTGTGAACTACTACACGCCTCGTCTTGGCTTGGCTCCTTGATTCCTTCAGCGAGACCTAGCCATCGTGCGCCCAGTGCCATCACCAAAGGAACATTTTCCCATCCCTGTCTTTATCCAGTAGGTCCCAGTTCTCACTACCTGCATGCAGGCTTTTTATACATTTGTTTTTCCTATCCAATGCCACCTTGTTTTGTCGTTTCAGAAATGTTTGGAGCCCAGTGCCCTCTCCCCTCCCGCTCTGGGGAACGGGAGGCAGCAGTGCCAGATCCCCCAGGCAGCATCACCTACAGCAGGCTGGTTTGCTGCACACCCGAAACTCTTCCTTTGGACCTGGCTGGGGGTTTTCCACACTTTCTCTAATGAGATCATTCATCCTTCCTACTCGCACATCATTAATAGTTGCTGTTTTATCATATTGTTCTGATTATACCGGCCTCCCAATCCAAAGCACACCAAAAGGACATGCAGCTTATGCAGCGCCTCTTCTTGCAATCACACTGCCTATCTGATCTCCCCATAAAAATTCCCAAACCAGCACTAAATGTAAGGTTTCCTCCCCCGGCACAGCTCCATCAGCAGGGTCCTCCTCACCCGGGCGTGCTGCTGCTCTCCCAACTGCCAGCCCAGCAAAAGCCTTGTGTTCCCCAGCCATGAACCCTGCGGATAGAGAGGCAGCTCTCGGGCATGGCCACACAGGTAAGGTATAGAATCACAGAATCACAGAACGGTTTGGGTTGGAAAGGACCTCTAAAGAACATCTAGTCCAACCCCCCTGCCATGAGCAGGGCCCCCTTCCCCCAGCCCAGGGTGCTCCCAGCCCCGTCCAACCTGGCCTTGAACCCTTCCAGGGAGGGGGCAGCCACAGCTGCTCCGGGCACCCTGGGCCAGTGTTTCATCACAAAAAACTTCCTTATATCTAGTCGGAACTTCCCCTCTTTTAGTTTAGAACCATTCCCCCTTGCTCTATCGCAACAGGCCCTCTTAAAAAGTCCGCCCCCACCTTTGCTACAGGCCCCCTTTCAGCACGGGCGGGCAGTCCTGCTCGGGGCAGCGGGGGACGAAGGGCCTGGTGCTCCGCCTGGTGCACGCACAGCCATTACCCGCCGTGCTGGAGGCTCCACAAAACCCAGCTAGGTAAGCCTGAGTTTCTTCCGGATGGGAAAGTAGCTAACACCGTTGTTTTGAATAAGAGTCTTCAGCTGGCTTTATTTTATATATATGAACTACAGTAACAGAGCAGTAACAAATAGTATGGATAAGTGAAACCGCTGACTTTCTGCAGGCTGCGTGTGAGTGCTTCCACATGGAGGGAGGAACGTCTTTCACCTGGGTAAACTTTATTCCTTGGTGTCGTATAGCTCATAACCATAAGTGGAGAAACTTCCTTTTTGCTTCTCCTCTGGGCTCCCATGTAAATCTCTCAGCTGGATCATTTCAAGCAGCTGTAAGGTCATCTGCCCCAGAGCTAGGCCAGCTGCTTTCCTGGATCTCCGCTGGGCCCACATGGACCCTTCTCCTCCAAGGAAAAAGAAAGGCTGAGTCTGTCGTCATCAATACATGCATGTAAACAGAGAAATCCACAGAATCACAGAATGGCTGAGGTGGAAAGGGACCTCTAAAGGTCATCTATCTAGTCCAACCGCCTGCTCAAGCAGGGAGGGCCACCTACAGTTGGTTGCTCAGGACCATGTCCAGTCAGGTTTTGGATGTCTCCAAGGATGGAGACGCTACAGCCTGTGTCCAGTCACCTTCACAGTGAAAAAAAATTTTTTTTTTTTTTTGAGGGGATGTGCAAGGGGAAAAAGAATGAGCACAAGGAGCATGGTTGTTGTTGCGTATGTCACAAAAGCTCCGTGCTGGCTAAGACAGAGGAGGCATAAGGCAGGTGTGGTCCTCACTCTTGGATTTCTCCAAGAGCTGAAACTTTTGGATGAATGACTGCTAGAAGCCTGTTGTGGTCCAAGTCCA